TGCTCCCAGGTGTAATAAATGATTTGGAAGAGTGAGATGCATGTGACCCAAGAGTTGCTCCGCTCGAGGGCATTAGGAAAATTGCTGAGGGTCACTTTGTAAATGGTAAAGCCAAGGTTAGAAGCCAGGATGGAACAGCGGAAGGGCTTGGGGGATGGAGTGGCCAAAGCTCTGGCTGCTGCAGAGCACAGGCACAGCACAAGCGAGAGGTCCCATCAGGACACCTCAGGGCTTCCCTCTGGAGCTTAACCAAGAAGCACCCAGAAGCCACCGCACTGTCCGAGGCTGCAGGTGCACAACTCTAGAATAAGTGTCAGAGCTGCGGGGGGACAGAAAGGGGGACGTCTTTGCAGAGAGGAGGGCTTGAAAGCTGGCTCTTTTAATCCGGCAGAGACCTCTATAATGCTGCACCCTTCTCTGGCATGCTGGGATGGGGAAATGCTGGTCAGGGAGGACTTAAAATGCCAATGAGACACGTTAAGCCATATCAGGGGTTCTAGGATATAACATTTTGAAAATGTGTAACTCAAGTATCTTATCAGCGCCTCTATCTCTCCAACCTCGTTGCCTGTTCTTTATCTCCCAATATGTGTCTTGGCCACTGGAAGGAAAGAACAGGGGCTGCCTGAAACAGAGATGTTCATCCCTCCCATCTGAATTTCAAAGCTGGCTGCTGAACCTCTTTAGAAACATGAGCACCATGGAAATAGAGTGGGAAGCAGAAGCATGTTTCTATTTTTTTCCATTTAGCTTATCAAAAGCCGCCGGCCAGCATGGTTCAGTGGTTGAGTGTCAATATGAACCAGGAGGTCACGGTTCGATTCCCAGTCAGAACACATGCCCGAGGTTCGGGCTCAGTTCCCAGAGGGGGGCGTGCAGGAAGCAGCCGATTAATGACTCTCATCATTGATGATCCTCTCTCCCTCCCTCTCCTTTCCTCTCTTTGAAATCAATAAAAACAAATATATTTATAAAAAGCCAAACCTGGCTGGCTTGATCATAGCATTTTAAGTAAAGGAGGTCTACCTGAGCCAACAGGATGGGCATGAGGTGAAAGCCCCCTGCCCCCTTGCCCAGTGGATAGGGGGGAAGGAGATGAGGGGACAGAAACAGAGGGAAGGTCCTCATGGCAGTCTTGGGCCCCGCTCCTGCATCTTTTTTTGTGTGTCCTGGGATCTGCCTCCTCCAAGAATGATGGACTGGGACTGCTTCCTGCCTATTGACCCCTTTCTGCCATCCTTACAGATCTGTTGGCACTCGTGCATTCTCTCTCTCTCTGTCTCTCTCTGCCTCTGTCTGTCTGTCTCTCTCTCTCTCACACACACATCTTTTCAGAGGGACAAAAGCAGTTTATAAGCACAGAATAGTCAAAATCCTTGCAGAGAATGGACCATGGCACACTGCATAGCAAGGCTGTGGCTCACCTGCACCCAGTACTTCCCTTCCATGGCATTGGTCTTTGTCTCCAAGCTGCTGATGAGATGCAGATGTCTCCTGAGGTCCAGTCATATATATCTGCCTACCAACTGCCTCCACATGGGTACCTCACAAACCAGGCAGCTAACCCCTGACTCGTCACCTGCCCCTCCTGTGCTCTCATCTCAGCCAGTGGCTCTCCATCCAGTGCTCAGGATAAACACTGAGTGTCAAAGCCATGCCCCTCATCCACCAGGCACCAAGTCCCTAATTCTGCCTCCCAAATAGCTCTCCGGTCCACCCAGTTCGCCCCATCTTTGCCACCAAAATGGTCCAGGGCACAGCACCCATGGCCTGGATGCTTGGAACATCCCCTAATTAGACTCTCCCCTCCAGCACACTCCACCAACCACCCACTTATTCACCACACAGCAGCCTGAGAGATCTTTAGAAGTGACAAAGCCAACCATGTCACTCCCTGCCTAAAGCCTTCAGTGGCCCCCCAGTCCCTTAGGCAGTGGGCCAGATTCATGACTGTGGCTTACAAGGAAGTGACCTGACATTGACCTCCAAGGCCCCCAGCAACCTTAGTGTCTCATTCCTCCCTATTGCATCTACCCTGTGCTCATGCACCTTCCCCTTTGCAACGTCTCATATACAGCCGGCTCTTGACAAAGGTTTTCTGATTGACTCTGGAATAAATGAACAAACAAAGGACGCCAAGCAGAGCTAGGATGGCTTCCTAGTCTTTCCTCAGACAGGAGGTGCGTCCTTGTCATTCCCTGCCCTCCAGTTATTCTGACTAAAGGTCCTGATTCAGTTTCCCAGGCATGAAGAAATAGTTTTCACAAAGGCGAACCTAATCCTTGGCCTTTTACATCTATGAGGTTAGCTTTCAAAACAAAATAATGGGACCCATGTTTTACTACCTACTTGTTTACTACCTAGTGTTGTTTAAATTTTCTTTAAAAGTTTGTATGTTCTTGCTGCTGCACCATCTCCATGAACAGGCTGACCAGGTGCACCGGGGTGAGCAGGTGAGCACCTGCCGCAAATCCCCTTTCTACCCTCCCGTGACTGTGACCTAGTGACACTCAAAGGCACCAGCGAAATCCCCCTGTGCCCTTTGCTTGTTACTCCAGCTGACCCCCGAGCGGCCACCCTCCCCTCCGTCGGGCAGTTCCTCCGATAAGCCCCAGGCCGAGCTAAGCGGAGGAAGCTCCCCTTGCAGACACACGGGGCCGTAGCACATGGCAGCGATGTGGGCACCCTGGTTCTGCAGCTGACTGGAGGCTGATGTGGGGCTGAAGAGGAACCGGGTAAAATTAGCATGACATCATCCTCAGCTGCCAGAGACAGAGCAGGCTGCTGTGGGCTGCGGCCTCTAACCGTGCGGCATGGCCTCCTGACCTCCGCGTGACCCTTGGCTGTGCAGTTCCCTTGAAATCATTCTCCTTTCTCCTCCCCCTCCCGGGGACACTATGACCTGGCTGAGGCCTGCTGGACAGATCCCAGCACCGAACAGGCTGGCTGGGGGGGCGAGATGGCAGGGTCCTAAAGCACCCTCTGTGCCCCGACAGTGGCCAGCATCCCACGGTAGAGACACAGCTAAGAAGGAACGTTCAGGAACCAGACAGCCTGGGCTAGGGTCCTAGTGCCACTGCGCGTAACAGGTCTTTACCTGGACAAGGGAGTGACTGAACCTCTCTGGGCCGGTTTTCCAGTCTCAAAATAAAGGTAATAACAGTCCTTCCCTCTCAGAGTTCTTGTGAGGATGAATTGAAATGATAAGTAAAAAGGAAGCATTTGAAATGGTGCTGGGCACATGGTCAACACTGTCAGTTATTATGACTCAGGATCCTTCACAGTCCACTCCTCCCCCCAGGGCTGTCCCACCCCCAGCACTGCCCCCTGAGCTCCCTGCGCCAGGTAGATGAGTCTTCTCGGGGCCCTCCCATCCGCACCAGGACTG